ACCTGTTTTTACAACTCTGTGTCACTGAAAACACACTCCAAAATGTTTCAGCAGAGAACAGATCCCCCCTTCATGAATTAGCTTCATGAGTGACACAGATAACAGTAACGTAAAATGAGGTTGGGCTTTTTTCCTTTCTCTTTTCATAAGGAGAGCTCTCCGAGTAAATCCACTGAGATCAACAGAGCCATTCCAGATTCTCCCCAGCACACGTTTTGTAGCTTAGAAAACAAATACTCAGAGAAAGGGGGAAATAAAGAAAATAAAGAAAAAAAATCAGACAACCTCTCAAAGCTGAAATTGCCCTTTCCATTCAAACTCAGTGCTATACCCCAAACTGAAATTGTCACACAGCCCATTAATCTCCATTACAAAACATGTTCTTTATTTACTAAAATTACAGCATTTGCTTGAATGATAACAGTATTTACATACTGGTTTATGAGCTCCTGAGATGTTTCTCAAGCAAATAAAATAAGAGAATAGGTTACGGTTTATTGAAGTAAGAGAACTGCATTGTTCCTAAGAGAACAACATACTGCTGCTGTTACTGCTCCTGTGCTGCAAGCATTTAAAACAGTGTTGTCCTTTAAAGGATTCACAGCACATATCATTTACCAAAATAGGACTAAATCAGTGGTGCATGCAGAATAGCCCTCAGTGCTGACAAAGGCAACCCAAAGAATCTACAGAAAACATCTGGATTTATAAAATCCAGAGTCCTCCTGAAAACAACACATGCAATTTTGTACCGTGACTCTGCTCCATGGAATAGGCTAAATCCAGGAAGGAAGAAAATCTAGCAATAAAGGATCTGTTAAAGACAAGAATACCACAAACCTACTGATGTCACTATTAATGATGTCACATCCCCACTTGGGGAGGATCACCCAGATTAAAACAAAACACTAAATGTGAGCCCACCCTCCCCCCCCCATCTATCAGTAGAGAAGGCATCAGGCTGAAGAGATGCCAAGATAATAAATTCCAAAGGCTTCTGGAAAACAGCAAATACTCTCAGTACCTCAACAGTGAGAAACCAAGAACAAGCACCTACATAGCTGCAGGTTTCTGCTATTAAGTACAAAGCATCATAAAAATATTTACATCATGGGAAGACGCTGTGTGTTAAGAGCTGCCGTTAAATTTTTTGGCAAGGCATCCTCTCTCGATTGACTTACCACTGAGACCAAGAGCTCAGTTCCAAAAACCAGAGCAATTTTTATCAGATTAAAAAGCATTTTGTATACTTTTCATTTTTAATGAGACAATAGTTCTCTATTAAAATATCGTTTATTCAATTACGACTATTTCTAAGGGGATGAGTAGAACATTAAGCCTTAAGAGTGCAGCATGGGGAGAACTCCAAGGAGGCCGAAACCTGCAAAGTGAAACGAATAGCACTTCACAGTCACAGTCCAGGGCCAGAGCTGGTGAGCAAAGCATTCCATCTACTAACCACGGCAAACCACAAACCCTTGTTGCAGAACACACACCGGCTGAAATTCAACCTGCTGGACAGTGACTGCCCTTAAGAAAAATCTTAAGAATTAGTGTCAGCAGTAAAAAATATCCTTTTGAGGGAAAATCAGGCTTTTTGTCCATTTCCTGCTTTTCCCATGTACAGTGTCAATTTTCTAACACTCACTTTTGGTATCAGACTGTGGGTTATTTCCCGAAACACACAGGTATGCATTCACACTCCTGTATGCTAAGTAAATCAGGTAACAATTCTCCATTTGAAAGGTGCTTTGGGTAACTCCTAAATTTATGCTTTCAGTTAAGCTTTTGACACAGCAACACAAACAGGCTAAGCCTTGAAAAATACAAATCAAGGTATGTAAGGATCAGGTGCTTCAAACAGGTTTGTTTATCAGGCAATGGGGTGTTTTGAAATGCTGGCATTATAATAACTAAAGCTTCACTGAAGAATATATTGTACAGCTTCTTCCATTTGTAAACTGGTTATTGAAAACTCTGAAGTAGCAAAGCAGCTTTGCAGCAGGTGCAGCTATGAAAATAAGGGATATGAAGGAAATCTTTCTAGTGATTTAACTTTGCTAAGTCAAAAATAAGGATTTTTACAGTTAGAGGGGTGCACATGTGTACCTATATCTACGTATCTGTAGATCTGTATTGTTCCTCCACAGAGATTGCACAGTCCAGCTCTGCCAGTTTACCAAACACTACAGGATCACCACCCAAACAAGTCAATTCTTGAACTCAATACACAGCTCAACATATATAAGCTTATGAAGTAGCTGTTCTAAAAAATAATTTCACCTACTCTGATCAGGCATTAAGGTCATGCTGTTGCCATAGGAAATAAAGGGCCATATAAAAAAACAAAAACAAACACAAAACAAAAGGCAAGAAATCAAATTCTATTTCAATGGCTTAAAAAAAAGGGGGGGGGGGGGAAATAATCTCCAAGTCCATAGGGACACCTAACAGCTAATCCGTCAAGTCCTGATCTCAAGGAGGCCAAGATGTGCATGTTGTCATGTTTTCCCACACAGTTCTCCCTGTTCAGGTTGGAACCATCAGAAAGGCACCATCAGCGGGTCTGCTGTGTGTAGTTCCATTTACTTCCCATACGCTAATTCATGCAACATGAGTGCAGAATGCCAGCTCCATTCCCTTACTGTTTGCACTCTAGGAGTAGACTTGTATTTTCTGCCAACTCCATTACATCACCCGAAAGAACCCAAACAGTTCCTTTTTTTTATCCCTTCCCTCCAGATCCCTGCCCCTCTCCTTCTTCCCTCTCCCTCCCCAACAAGCCCTTCAAGCCAGGTACTGCCGGAAGCTTTATTTCCCTCAGAGGGCTGCACAGCCACAGCATCCCCTCGCCTGCTCACGGATGCCTTCCTCCATCACTGACCTTCCTCTTCCACCCGGCTGTTACACAACCCAGTGCCCGCCCGCGTGCGGCGAGCCCGAGCCCGCTGCCGGACCCCCCTTCCCGTTCCTTCCCCGCCGAATTCGGGGGGGGAGGAGGGGCATTTGGGTCAGCAGGTTAGCAGTACCAAAGCCTAAGCAATCCCGAACCGCGAAGAAAAGACACCCTCACCACCAGAGCTGCCTAGTCTACGAAGCGCGCCCCCCCCCCCCCCCCCCCCCCCCCCCCCCCCCCCCCCCCCCCCCCGCCCCCCCTTTCGCATCCATACAGGAACGACTACCGAGCGTTACATAATTTATGGGATCCCAAAATCACCCCACTTCCTCCTCCCCAGGCCCGGCCCCGCGGCCCGGCAGCACCATCTGCCCGCACCGCCGGAACCCTCGGGCCGGTGAAGGATGGCGGGGAGGGGGGGGCTGTCGTTGTGTAACAACCGCGAACTATAGCCGCTCCGCAAACATGCACCAAACTCCCCGACACATTAAAGAAATTTCCTCCCGTGTTTCTGATTAACCTCGTTACATAAGGCGCTTGCATTCCAAATCCACTCTCGCAAGCTCTAAATATACCCCCCCCCCCCTTCCCCGCGCAGCCGAACGCTCCCTGCGCACACGCCCGCGGCCGCCCGGCCCTGCCCCGCTCCCCCCCCGCCTCGGCACCCGCCGAACCGCGCTCCCCGCCCGCAAAGCGCCTCTAATTAAACGTTTCGGCGTGTGTCATCTCGATGGCTTTTACTGTACGCGGATTCCCTGAGTGGGAAGCTGCCTGCGAAGGGGGAGGGGGTGTGGCCAAAAGGGGAAAAATACTGTAAAACACAAGCCAACACATCATCAGCCATATTCCAACCTACATCCCCAAATCCCTCCGGCCGAGGAGGGACGCGCTCCGCATGCCAGCGGCCGGGCATCGCTGCCCCGGCCTCGGCCGCAGAGGGGCCGCTGCTCCCGCCGGACACGGACTTTCCTCCACCCGACACGTCTTTCAGCCGCCGTGTGTATTGTGACATCGCGTTATTTAATTCATTTCTCCCCATCACGAAGTGATTTTAGCGAGCGAAGCCTCTCTAGCGCACTCCCCCCTCCCCCTTGCAGAAGCAACGCTTCATAAATTATTTACAAGTAATTAAAGCGGCAGCCTCATCCCTCTTTCGCCCGTGTCGGCAAACTCCAGCGGTGTTTGGAGCCGGCGCCCCTCACCGTGCCACGGCGGGAGCAGGGGCCCGCGCTCCCTGCCCCTCCGCTCCGCGCCCCTCCACCGGGCAGCGCGGCCACGAGCGAGCCCACGGCAAACTTCAACCGAGAGCCTCAGAGCTAACCCGCGCGGCTCCCAGACGCGGGCTGAGGCAGGAGAGAGGTGGAAAGGGCAAGAGACGGGAAAGGGGGGCTCCTTGGCTTGTTTGTTTGTTTGCAGCGGTTTGTTCGGGGGGAGCACGGGGGAAGCGAAGGAGAACCCATGGGAGCAGGGACACCCTCCGCAAAGTTGTACGCCTCCAAGAAACATCAGCTCCGAGCCCCTCCGCTCCGCCAGCAAAATGATTTTTATGATACACTTAAATGAAATAGGAGGGGGGAAATAGCGCGCGGGAGAGTAAGTCACCCGCAACCCTCCGGTGCAATTACAGATCCCCCATTCACAACGAGCCACAGCGCACCCGCTGAGAACTGTCAAAAGGAGACAGACGAGGGGGAGAACGGGGGGAGGAAGGACGCTGCAGCTTTAAAAGTTTGTTCCCTTCAATCCCAATACTCCTGCTGCTGCTTTATATATTTATAAAATTATGTAATTTCAGGGGCACGGTACCCATCCGGAGACGGGAGGCAATAACCCAGAGAGGCAGGAAAGCCCCAAACACCGCTCGATATTTCCATCGCATTCGTCCCTCCTCCCGCAGCAATTAGGAGCAGCTATAAAAGTTTGCAAGCTTCGGCGGGGGGTAGGAGCGCGGCTTGTTTGCGTGCTCGGCTCCCGCACGCACGAGCAATAAAACAGGGTATTAAATCGCAGCGTTTCCCCCTTCTCTCGTACCCCCCTCTTCCTATTCCCACCCACCCCCGATCCCACTCCCCCGGCCCCCTCCCCCTTCCCCAGGTCTCCCTACCTCTGCTGCCGCTGCTGCTGGAGTAGCTCTGCCTGCGGACCGAAGCCGGCGCTTCGCTTTTCCGGGCGGGCTCCAGGTTCACCGGGGTGTCCCTGGCGCCGGCGGCCGCCTCGGAGACGCTGCTGCCCGGCTCACTGGCTGCTGGATCGGGGGCTGCCGGAGCGGACTCCATGTTTTTCCCAATGTAGATCGCTTGGAGATGGCGAAGCTCCTACACTCCCTCTATCTTCTGTTTCCAGCGCAACTCTATGGTAGGGAAGCAGAAGGGAGAGCGCGAGCGTGATCCAGATGGGATGTGAGCTTGCCTGGCTGTGACCACAAGCAGCGCTAGCGAGAGCTGCGCGCACACACACACACACCCCGCACACCCCCCCCCCCCCCCCCCCCCGCACCAGCACCCCGCATCGCCGCCCTCCGGGGGGACACCGGGAGCCCCCGCAGCCCCCGAGCGCGGACGGGGGAAGGGAAGATGCAGGAAGCAGGCCCGACCTCTGCCTGCGCTCAGACCCACTGCTCGACACGGTTGTGGGGCCCGTCCAACAAGGTGACCGGGCCCACGAGGAGCACCCGGCTACAGCGGGAATTGCTCCCGAGCTGCTTTACCCCCAGGATTCCCTCAGCTGAAGCTGCATCAGAAGATGCCAGTTGTATGAAGTGCCTCGGGACCCACCGGTTTAGCAGCCAGAGAAGACAACATTTCAGACAATACTTCTCTTTCAAGGAAGTGCACTTTGATGCAGGACAAAAGGTGACTAGCAAGGTGCCAGAAAACCTCCAGATCTGGTCTGACTTTTGCAATCTCGCTTGTGCAGTTCATAGTCTCAGTAATGGTCAACTCCTTGTCCATTACCCAATGTTAAAGTACCAGCTGCCAGGAACAGTGTGCTGAAGAGCGCATCACATCCCTCTTGTATAACAGAGGCCATGTTACACACAGCCCTACTGCCTCCTACACAGAAGGTTCTAAAGCTGCCTGCTTTGACTGCTCCTACTGGCCTGAGCAGACCAAGTCATGGTATTTGTACTGGTAGGAGTACAAGGTTTTTGCACATGGCACTGGAGCTCATGCATGCAAGCAGCTGATGTGCCACCTTCTGCCAGCCAGAACTCCTGCTACAGCTATCAACACTGCTGGTGCTGGTACCTCGTGAAACCCATAGGTAGATTCTGAACAAATCCACATCTTGCAGTCTAATCACTAGTAGTGCACTGCTGTCACAAATGGTGGCTGCTCACAAACAACTGTGAAACGTACCACGAGTCCTACCTGCTACAGGAGCTCGTCCACAAAGTGGATCACACCTTGCACTGCTGATGGCTCTTGTAGTGTAAGGGCAGTCTTGTTCCTTTGGGTCAGTTCCTTTGGAAGTCCTGAAGCTCCAATGACCAGTGTCTGAAAAAACCCACAACAGATCTGTTGGCTGCCTTCATCTGAAGGATGGGCATAGACTGCAAAAGACATTAAGAATGATTCTGCATTTATTTTAGAGTGTGAATAAACATGAGCTGGACTTAGAGACCTTGCCCACTGGGTAAATCCATGCTTGCTCTTGAGGATTAAGTATTCAGTTAGGGCAGGCCTGGAAGCCCTGGGGTAGGGAGACAAAAGGCTACACTGTTTGTCACCAGTGACAAGTGAAGCAACCTCTAGCCTGATAGAAGCTGTTCCTGGACAGCAGGCTTGGAGGGAGATGGGGGATGAGTGAAAATGGAAGTGGAAGGCAGGAGTACGGTTTGCTCCCAGCGAGGTGGTCCTCCTCTGATGCAAGTTTGGAGTTTGGTGGATTAGGGCTACAGTTTCCTGCAAACTCTCTCCCTCCTCACTAATTGGCAGACTCCAAATAGAAGCAAGAATTATGTGAACTTTGGAAACTGAACTGCCTGTTATCCTGAGAGAAAGCTTATCCCTCCCTCTTCAGACCAGGGTTTATGCAGGAGGCTGACCAGGCGATGTGTGTTGGGAAACTTGCCCAGCTAATAAAGAGGGAAGACTTCATTCCTCAAAGCTGCCAGACCACCGCCTTTCACTAGCATCGGGAACAACTGCACTACTTGCTACAGCGAGCATCATTCATGTGAGCGTTTTGCAGGATTGTTTTTAGTACCACAGATACTTCACATTACCAGAGAGCATGGGCTCATTTTTTCCTTTCCCCTTTTTATGTGTTAAAGGCTGCTGAGATTTAGGACCCCTACCTTAGCTATACAATTGCCATTTAGTGAATCTTTCCCCTTATTTTCTAAAACCAAACAATTTTTCAACTTACTTTCTTAGAAGTGAAAAGGGAACACTGAAAGCATACAGTAGAGCTTTGGTTTTCAAAAGGAGTTCTGGGTGGGAAATGGGAGAAGCAAAACCCAAGTGCTTACAGCAGCTGAGTCAGTGAAGAAGAATAATTAATTTTACGTTGGTTAACAACATCTCCTCAAGTCACTAGCAATAAGAACCAGCTAAAGCAGGACAGACTTACAGTGTGCTTGTAGAGGCAATAATCTAAGAGGGTTTTAGCACTTACGCAAGCCAAGAGACAAAGAGGGTGCCTAAAAAGCCTGAAAGCACCATGAGGAAAAAAAAAATAAATAAAGTGACAGTCACTGGAGCTTTATCTAATGGAGGAAAACCATCATGATTCTTGTCAAGATCCTCTCTATGAATCTGCTCTGCAGGGACATTTCCTGGGCATAGAAATGGTCTTTCTCATTCTTTAGTCTTTTATTTCTAGTTTCCAATCCATACCACGATGGTTCATTAACTTTGATCACTAAGCTTGTTTGAACAAGTGAGATGGCATCAGCAGCAAAGACAGGTATGCTGAGAAACTTGAGAAGAAATGTTTGGTTAGATTGAGAAGGGCTTTAGAAATTGCTGCAACAGATCCTATGAGAATTAACAGTAATGAAACAAAAAGGGACAAGCATCACCAAACATTTCCTATTGATTTTCTTGATTTCATGTAGATAAAAAGATTAACAGTGTTTAACATTATAATTTAAATAATCAGACAAATCTTGTATGATTCTGGAGTAAACAAGATCATGCAGAAACTTTTTCAGAGCATGGACACAATGATGGAGCAAGGGCAGAAAAGCTGTCATGCACCCAACTGACCACCATGGAAAGCAAGCTCTTGTGTGGGACAGGCACAAGGTACACAGAGTACACACACACAGAAGAAAACTGTAGTTCACAAGAGAACAGTACAGCACCATACTGCTTTAGTGTTCATGGTCCATTAATATGTAAGCATAGTTTGGATTTGAGGTATCAATAATGGTTTTCTACATCCATAACTAACATAGCTGTTGAAATACCCCACTTGAAGAAGAATGCCAAAGTACATTCCTGATTTAGGAAGCATACAGAACCATGGAACAACTCAAGTTGGAAGGAACCCATAAGGATCATCAAGGCCAGCTCCCTGCTCCTTGCAGGACTACCTGAAACTAAACCATATGATTAGGAACAGTGACCAGACGCTCTTATATGATAGCCTGCATTCCCTTGGATCTGGGCTAGTGACCTCGGGCCACACCAGGACTGTCAAACCTTCCAAGGAAGCTTTGTTAGCTCCAATCTAACAGTTACAGATAACGTATTGCTGCAGAGCTAAATGATCATGAGGGCAAAGCGTGGATAATACTGCACAAAAACAACAACCAACCTATTTTGGTGCTAGTGGCATTTCCTTTCTTAGGTGTTCCCTTGTGACATTCCCCCAGATATTTCCAGTTACTACTCCTCTTCCTCCTCCTATACAACACATTACAAGGGGTAAGGCGCATCTGCTTCCATTCCCTTGCCTGTGGTTTTGATGTCTTTGCAGGAAAAGAGAAAGCAAAGGGTCATAGGCCATTCAGAAGAGCAAGTTTCAGGATCATGCAAGTCATAGGACATCCACTAGGTCTTCAGTGGAGTTATCTAGTACATTCCTGATGTACTCCTAGATCAGTCTTGAAAAAAGAATTTAAATCATTTTGTGTAACCCTACTCTGTGGCATACGTTTTAATGTTTTACAAAACTTCAGTTAATTAAATTGTACAGGAGGACAAGAAACTGCTTCCACTTGAAATACATACAGCCTAATACCTGAGAGCAGCTTTGAGGAAGTTATGCACCCCACTAAGCTTCAGCAAAAACAGGCAGACTAGAAAGCTACACATATATAATCTGAACTAATTATGGGCGCTGCATATTTGGCCGTAATTAAATTAAATACTACTTTAACAATGTTCTTAGTCTAGATGAAAACAAAATACAAAATAACAAGAAATAAGAAAACAGTGCTAGAGGCACTGTGCCTGGATGCAGTTTCAGTGAACCCTTTCCCCCAGCCTTTATCTCTAAGCAAAGTGGGAGGCTCATCAAGCAGTTTATCTGGAATTTATACTCTCAGATACAATTGTCTTTGCTTTAAAGACCAAGGAGCATTCGTTAACTAGCTAGCAGCACAGCACAGATGCAGTGGAATCTCTTTCCTGCTGCAGACTCCCAGTACAAACTATGAGCTGTTTTTCATTGTTTGTTAAGCCTCAACTTCCACTTTGCTTCTCTCCTGCCATGTGGATTCATTCCTTACTGGATTTGCTATTTCTGAAAAAAGCTGAAGTGGAGGAGCATACAACATGAGAAGTAATGAATCCTTTGTGCTTATCTGTACCAACCCTATGTGCACAGCAGCATTCCCTGATCTAGGGAGTAAGCAGCAATAGCACAGGCCAGTTCTTAAGAAAGCAATACTTGGTGTGAATGAATTAAGGCAAAAGGCTCAGAGATACACCTTCTCCTTGACTGTTTTTACTCAATAGCTGTTTCATCAAATACCACATTTATTATAGTTTTTATCCTTTATATCAGACCAATAACTCACATGTTTTGTGCAAAACCTGTGTTTCTCTACAAGCAGCAGTAGGCTTAAGGGTTTAAGACAGGTTAGAGCAAGGAGGAAAAAAACCCAGCTTCTCCTTAAGAAAAAAAATGTTACCCCTGTGTAGATGATCACTGTGCATGTGCTGTCATACATCTGTCATTCCCCAGTGGATTCCATCAGTATCCACTTTTTCAAAGTACCTTACCTAAAAGAACCATTCTAAATTGTCTCACTAGTGAGATCCTAAAATATTAGAGAGTTCATGTGCATTGGGAAAGCTCACTTTCACTCAAATTCATTCTGGAAGTTTGTAGCAGCCAAACAAAAGCATATCCAACTAGAATTTCACAGTTCCAAATCATCTGAACAGGAAGACTACAAGTTACCTTGTAATACTGCGCACTAACATGTAATTAATAAGATACTTTC